AGTACTTAGAGAGAGATATCTCCAAGGAGGACTATAACCTAAAGATAAATAACAATAAAGTAAAAATACTGCCGAGGAACCCAGAAGCTTACAGAAAAATCACCAAGATACTAAGGACCCTGAACGCCTACTTCCATACCTACCAACTCTAACAGGAAAGGCCTTTTCGGGTGGTCCTACGAAACATCCACCACTCACCAGACATAGATGAACTCAAATTCGAACTCTCAAAACTCGGCCACGAAGTAATCAACGTTAGTAACATAAAGCATAGAATCTCGAAAGTCCCGTTATCCTTATTTTTTATTGACATAAAACAAAATACCTGCGTTAAATGTGCAGGTACACACCCCACTGACCAGTGCACTAAATCACCGGAAACCCCAGCGAAGTGCATTCACTGTAAAGGTGACCATCTTGCTAACTGCAAAGGCTGTTCAGCCTACAAAGCCCTATATATAAGTAAGTATCCTAAACTCTGAGCCAAAGAGACAACCACAGACCGGCTCGGGCAACCGAGGTGAACAGACGTGTGTAAGCAATCGTGCGCTCCAGTGAAGTGATTCAGAGAAGTGTTACGAATAGTGATAGTGAGGGGAAGTCAAACAATGCAGCAGCAGATACCAACAATCAAGATTGCAACCAAAGGAGAAAAGTATTATATAAACGGGTCGGTAGATTTACTAGGCTTAAAGCAACAGCAACAAAATAATAACAATCAAAACGATATGGTTACAGAAGAAATGGAAGAGCAGTGGAGACAGGAGGAACGCAGCCACGATAACGAAAGATGTTACTAGGACGAAAACTGGAAGCTAGCAAGGACTAGCAAAAAACATAAAATAATTCCAGGCACAAGTGCCGCAGGAAATCTAGATACGGAAAAGCAGCGATGGCTGCAAGAATTACCACTAAGAAACCCCTTCAGCTCACTTACGGAAGAAATAGACGACGACCCAGCAACCAAAAACACAACTAAATCAACACTACAAACCACCACCAATATTTGTCGAGGCCCAGATAATAGACCCGCTTATAGATCGACTAAACGATATAAATAGTTGGGAAGGACAACTACATAATAAAACAAACAAAACTAGAACAAGTAAAAATACAAACAAACACCCCAGAAAATTATAGGAAAGTGATAAAAGAATTAAGAGAAAAGAATGCTATATACCAGCTCAAAACGGAAAGGAGCTACAAAGTAATTATAAGAGGACTACACCCAAAAACGAACACAAAAAAACTAAGTGACGAATTAGCAAAAATTGGCCACCAAATAAGAACTATAAACAATATGACAAGGTACGATACGAAGCAACCATTACCACTATTCTTAATAGAACTGGAACTCAGATCCAACAACAAGGATATCTTTAATATCAAAAAAACACTAAACACAATAGTAACAGTGGAACCACCACGCTACAAAAAAGATATACCACAATGCATGCGGTGCCAACAATACGGGACCAGAGCACTAAATCACCGGAAACCCCAGCGAAGTGCATCCACTGTCAAGGTGACCATCTTGCTAACTGCAAAGGCTGTTCAGCCTACAAAGCCCTATATATAAGTAAGTATCCTAAACTCTGAGCCAAAGAGACAACCACAGACCGGCTCGGGCAACCGAGGTGAACAGACGTGTGTAAGCAATCGTGCGCTCCAGTGAAGTGATTCAGAGAAGTGTTACGAATAGTGATAGTGAGGGGAAGTCAAACAATGCAGCAGCAGATACCAACAATCAAGATTGCAACCAAAGGACAAAAGTATTATATAAACGGGTCGGTAGATTTACTAGGCTTAAAGCAACAGCAACAAAATAATAACAATCAAAACGATATGGTTACAGAAGAAATGGAAGAGCAGTGGAGACAGGAGGAGCGCATCCACGATAACGAAAGATGTTACTAGGACGAAAACTGGAAGCTAGCAAGGACTAGCAAAAAACGTAAAATAATTCCAGGCACAAGTGCCGCAGGAAATCTAGATACGGAAAAGCAGCGATGGCTGCAAGAATTACCACTAAGAAACCCCTTCAGCTCACTTACGGAAGAAATAGACGACGACCCAGCAACCAAAAACACAACTAAATCAACACTACAAACCACCACCAATATTTGTCGAGGCCCAGATAATAGACCCGCTTATAGATCGACTAAACGATATAAATAGTTGGGAAGGACAACTACATAATAAAACAAACAAAACTAGAACAAGTAAAAATACAAACAAACACCACAGAAAGTTATAGGAAAGTGATAAAAGAATTAAGAGAAAAGAATGCTATATACCACACGTACCAGCTCAAAACGGAAAGGAGCTACAAAGTAATTATAAGAGGACTACACCCAAAAACTAACACAAAAAAACTAAGTGACGAATTAGCAAAAATTGGCCACCAAACAAGAACTATAAACAATATGACAAGGTACGATACGAAGCAACCATTACCACTATTCTTAATAGAACTGGAACTCAGATCCAACAACAAGGATATCTTTAATATCAAAAAAACACTAAACACAATAGTAACAGTGGAACCACCACGCTACAAAAAAGATATACCACAATGCATGCGGTGCCAACAATACGGCCATACAAAAAATTATTGTAACAAAAGCCCGGCATGTGTTAAATGTACAAAAAATCACTTAACAATACACTGCCCATACACAAGAAAAATAGAAGAAGTTAGATGTTATAATTGTAACGGAAACCACCCAGCCAGTATCTTTAATATCAAAAAAACACTAAACACAATAGTAACAGTGGAACCACCACGCTACAAAAAAGATATACCACAATGCATGCGGTGCCAACAATACGGCCATACAAAAAATTATTGTAACAAAAGCCCGGCATGTGTTAAATGTACAAAAAATCACTTAACAATACACTGCCCATACACAAGAAAAATAGAAGAAGTTAGATGTTATAATTGTAACGGAAACCACCCAGCCAGCTATGAAGGATGTGAAATCAGGAAACAACTACAACGTAAACTGTTTCCAGCACTTCGCAATAGATCAGTCGATAACCACCAACAACGACAAAGTACAACGGATAACGAAGCAACATTGAAAGCACAAAATGAAATAAAAACTATAAACAGAAACACAGATCCCAAGGAAACCGAAGCTACGCGCAAGCAACCCAAAACATTAGACAAGCAACACCCATAAACAATCAGAGTCAAAGCAACAACACCGAAGACGCTACAGAAATCAAAGAAATGCTCAAACAATCCATTAAAAGTACAGAGATATTAGGAAAAATGGTAAGTGAGCCAAACACAATACTAAGGCAACAAGTACCACAAACAACAGTCATGTTACAACTACTCACAAACTTGCTAAGTAAAAGATAGAGATGGATATGTTGAAAATAGCAGCCTGGAACTCCAATGGCTTGCAACAGCCAACCCACGAAACTAAAACATTTTTGTATAAAAATAATATTGATATACTACTTGCCTCAGAAATACATTTCACTCTAAAAAGTTACATGAAAAACCATACTACACCATCTACGACGCCAAACACCTCTCAGGTAAAGCACATGCAAGAACTGCAGTAATAATAAAAAATGACATGAAGCATCACCTATATAGTCAAACAAATCAAGAACACTTACAAGCAACCACTGTCACAATACAAACCAATGACAATTACTTCCAAATATCAGAGTTATGCTCGCGAAAGAGCGAGCAGAAAGATAAACGCTGCACCATACTCAGCACAACAGCGCAAGAAGTTACAAATTAAATTAAGGCAACAAAGACAAGTAAAGCCCCAGGATTTGACTTGATCAATGGAAAATCTTAAAAGACCTTCCCCCAAAGGCAATAAGACTAACAACGATAATATTCAACGCAATAAGAATACAGTACTTTCCTGCACTATGGAAAATAGCACAGATCATAATGTTATGGCTCGCCTGAGTACTTGCAGATTCGAAAACAGCGGATTCAAAAAATACGTCAAAAATAAAAGAATCTACGACTTAGCGAACATCCACCGTATCGGCTGTCACATCTTAAAGCTAACAATAAACCACTTCGCGCAATCTGCAAAGATAATAGAAAGTAGTTAATCTTCAGTTGCTTATTTCTAAACGATTCATATTACAAATATATACTGACAACAGGTTACATCCCCCCGAAGCATTTTTATACCTAGACGAAAGAAACTAGCTCCAAGACCAAAATAACATGCCAATCCTGTTTCTATCAGTTTCTGTCTGGAGTTTGATTCCTAATACAACGTGTGTCCCATTATATCTGTTACGTCGCGTAACCTAGTTCTACCTAGCCCAGGCCACACACCGCGGGTAATATGGCAACCAGATGTCTTCGGATACTCGCAGCGTACCCTCAATAGCCTCAAGTACCTTCCATAAATCTCATAGATTTCCTCGTAAAGGTCCTTCAAACCAAACAAACGTCTATTTCCGAAGAATTTCCAAAGACTATTGTCTACCACGGCTGGACAAGGGGAAGTTAGTTTTTCTCACGTATGATGCAACTTTCCTCCTACTACCCACTTTCTCTCGAGGGCGGTTAAGCCTAGTTCCCTCACTCTCTCGACTAACATCGTCTCCAACAAATCCGATGGTCCCGTGCGCGAGACACACCCATCCTTAGCTTTGCCCGCCACAGCATCGTCAACGAACAGCAGTGATTTTCCATCCTCTGTACAGTCAACATCCTTTGACCGGGTATGCACCCGTAGATCAGCAACTACTTCTCCTGCGACATCACTCAAGTCAGCCACTTCTCCTGCGACATCAGTCAAATCAGCTACTTCTACTACGCCGAGTCAAAGCAACAACACCGAAGACGCTACAGAAATCAAAGAAATGCTCAAACAATCCATTAAAAGTACAGAGATATTAGGAAAAATGGTAAGTGAGCCAAACACAATACTAAGGCAACAAGTACCACAAACAACAGTCATGTTACAACTACTCACAAACTTGCTAAGTAAAAAATAGAGATGGATATGTTGAAAATAGCAGCCTGGAACTCCAATGGCTTGCAACAGCCAACCCACGAAACTAAAACATTTTTGTATAAAAATAATATTGATATACTACTTGCCTCAGAAACACATTTCGCTCTAAAAAGTTACATGAAAAACCATACTACACCATCTACGACGCCAAACACCCCTCAGGTAAAGCACATGCAGGAACTGCAGTAATAATAAAAAATGACATGAAGCATCACCTACATAGTCAAACAAATCAAGAACACTTACAAGCAACCACTGTCACAATACAAACCAATGACAATTACTTCCAAATATCAGAGTTATGCTCGCGAAAGAGCGAGCAGAAAGATAAACGCTGCACCATACTCAGCACAACAGCGCAAGAAGTTACAAACTAAATTAAGGCAACAAAGACAAGTAAAGCCCCAGGATTTGACTTGATCAATGGAAAAATCTTAAAAGACCTTCCCCCAAAGGCAATAAGACTAACAACGATAATATTCAACGCAATAAGAATACAGTACTTTCCTGCACTATGGAAAATAGCACAGATCGTAATGTTATGGCTCGCCTGAGTACTTGCAGATTCGAAAACAGCGGATTCAAAAAATACGTCAAAAATAAAAGAATCTACGACTTAGCGAACATCCACCGTATCGGCTGTCACATCTTAAAGCTAACAATAAAACACTTCGCGTAATCTGCAAAGATAATACAAAATAGCTTAATCTTCAGTTGCTTATTTCTAAACGATTCATATTACAAATATATACTGACAACAGGTTACATCCCCCCGAAGCATTTTTATACCTAGACGAAAGAAACTAGCTCCAAGACCAAAATAACATGCCAATCCTGTTTCTATCAGTTTCTGTCTGGAGTTTGATTCCTAATACAACGTGTGTCCCATTATATCTGTTACGTCGCGTAACACTCTACCTAGCCCAGGCCACACACCGCGGGCAATATGGCAACCAGATGTCTTCGGATACTCGCAGCGTACCCTCAATAGCCTCAAGTACCTTCCATAAATCTCATAGATTTCCTCGTAAAGGTCCTTCAAACCAAACAAACGTCTATTTCCGAAGAATTTCCAAAGACTATTGTCTACCACGGCTGGACAAGGGAAAGTTAGTTTTTCTCACGTATGATGCAACTTTCCTCCTACTACCCACTTTCTCTCGAGGGCGGTTAAGCCTAGTTCCCTCACTCTCTCGACTAACATCGTCTCCAACAAATCCGATGGTCCCGTGCGCGAGACACACCCATCCTTAGGTTTTCTCCGAGACAGCATCGTCTCCCTAGACAATACTGATTTTACATCTTTCAAACGGTCGCCATCCTTCCATCGGGTATACACACCCGCAGATCAGTCACTCATTCATCTCGTACATACGCACCAGTGTAACTGCCTTCGTCATAAGATATAGAATAAACGGTGAAATATAACTTATTCTGCTGTGTCATATTCATTTAACCACCTCTGTTATCTTAACCGAAACAGGGGAACGACTACTTCGCGGCGTCGATTCACCGAATCGTAGCGAGAATTTACGCCTCTCGCTGACGCGTTTTCCTCGCGATCGCGTCTCTCCGCGATCAGGTAAACACCCTCAGGTAAAGCACATGCAGGAACTGCAGTAATAATAAAAAATGACATGAAGCATCACCTACATAGTCAAACAAATCAAGAACACTTACAAGCAACCACTGTCACAATACAAACCAATGACAATTACTTCTACATATCAGAGTTATACTCGCGAAAGAGCGAGCAGAAAGGGAAAGAAGTCATCAAGAAGATAGTCAGGAAGTATTAGGACTGGCTAGAACAAGAGGACGCGGGAAGGGGGTGCAACACAAGTTAATTCATAAGAGGTTCCTGGTGCACTCCTGTCATATGCGTAGGATGGTCATCGTGGAGTTTTAGTCGGTAGGAGTCCGACACTACTCTGCTGTCACGCGATTATTGTAACAGCGGAGTGTCCCCAGGATTTGACTTGATCAATGGAAAAATCTTAAAAGACCTTCCCCCAAAGGCAATAAGACTGACAACGTTAATATTCAACGCAATTCTAAGAATACAGTACTTTCCTGCATGTGGAAAATAGCACAGATCGTAATGTTACCCAAACCAAACAAAAACCCACATCTAACTGCATCCTACAGGCCAATATCATACAATTCTAAGAATACAGTACCTTCCTGCACTATGGAAAATAGCACAGATCGTAATGTTACCCAAACCAAACAAAAACCCACATCTAACTGCATCCTACAGGCCAATATCATTACTATCTGCGTTTTCCAAATTACTAGAAAAAATAATATATAACCGCCTAAAACCAACAATAGAAAAAGAAAAATTAATACCGGTCCATCAATCTGGATTCAGGAATAAACACTCCACAATAGAACAAATGCACAGACTCGTCAATGAAATCTTACAGGCGCTGGGAAGAAAACAATATTGCACGGCACTCTTTATGGACATTGAAAAAGCATTTGACAAAGTTAACCATGAAAACCTTCTTCAAACATTCAAAAAGCAATTTCCAGAACAAATCTACATACTAGATGAATGAAAGAGAGAGTTGTGCGTTTCGTCCCGGGACTACCGGTGGACTCGTCAG